TCTCAACCCCCTTTTCAACCCATATTATCCAATAACCCTGACCCAATCACCCCCACACCCTCTTATGCTTCCCAAGTTACCCCAACCTACTCCTCATACCATTCTGACCAATCATCTCATTCTCCAGACACCCCCCGAATCTCCCCAGAGCTAGATAATTTTATTACCCTTCAACAACAACCCTACCACCTTAATACCCCAACCATAAACCAAATCTCCTCCACAATAAATTCATCCAACCCCCCTACCCCTACACCCTCTTCAAATTATACTGAATCATTAGCACCATCATCCACATCAACTGAATCTTCACTCAACACTAATAGAGCTTACCGCACTTTTAAAAGAAAGTTCCCCAACCATCCTTTCCCAGCAAAACCAGGAACAGCCCGTGAATACATCAACCACCCCAAGCATACTAACACAAAAGAATTTTTAGCCATCACCTTACCCTCATTCCCACAATACACCTTAAACACCCCCCACGACACTAACGAAACACGCAACTTCGTAGATGAATACGTTTTAATGCCCACTCTCTCTTGGACCTCATATTATCATTTTACTAACCCTCTTTGCTTACCATTATCTAACACTCACATCGATATAGAGCGAAATACGGACATGCTATATCGACTCACTACACCACTAACCGCTAGACAATTTACTTACGTTGGATATAAAAAATCACTAAAAACACACACTGCACCTAGAGCTAACGAATATACACTTGAATACTATGATCACAACATCATCAGAGCTAACCAAGATCAATTCTTAGACGACGATCGCTTCGCTAATCCACAAATTACCGAGAAATTTTTCATCAAGACACCATATATATTCACACTAAACATCTTCGACCGAAAGTTTGATCACATTATTTCAGAAGCACTAACAGACACACAAGCATACGAAAGTTTCAAAGAACGCTTCCAAATATTTTCACTAACCTTTCATTTCCTTGCACCACACGAAAGAGATTTACACTGCTCACACGATATTATGTTGCGCACTAAACAAACCCACACATATAGTTATTATCGCTTCATCCAAAATCACTTTGACCTACACACACCCTCTAGACAACCACACCATCGTTTTCAATTCATTAATTCCAAATACACTTCACCATTTTTCCTAAATTTCACATATTGTATTAAAGACACTAACCTCCATGGTATTCTTCGTAATTATGACCCCATAACCCAAATGTACATCTTCTGTCCCATCACCAAGACCTTCAACGCCGAAGAATCCCGACCCTTCCTTATCCCACACGAGTTTGTACAACCTATAGAAATCCCAATTTTAGAATTCATCCACAACACTAAATTCAATCACAAATTATATAATCTAATCCAAAACACACCTTATGAGTTTGCAGTTGGCACTGAAGAACTAACCACTATTAAGGCACTTCAATTGCTTTGGCCACTGCTTCAGACTAAAAATATCATCCGCATCTTAGCTAAACTACTAACAACTTCAGAACTAATTCACGACATCTTCCCCCACGGTTTTTTCCCCGACAACTAACAGGTAAGTATAAATTAAATGAATATAACTAACTAATTGAAATATTAAAAAACTCACCATACTTTATCCATGTTTTCCTTAGATTTTTAGCCTTCATCCGACGATCACCTACAAAAACCACAAAAAACAAATAAAGATCGCAAATTTCATCAAACAGACTTCAACAATTCTATTAATCTCTTACACTTATAAATTTATAAATTTAATACCAATGCAGTAAATTCATTTCTAAAATTTTCCCCACAAGCAGTAAATTTAATTATGATGAAAATTTGTAACTTAAAATTCCCCCATAACTAGCAGTAAATTTCCAAATTCTATGCAGTAAATTAATAAAATGCAATTGCAGTACTAACCTTTTGATATTTTCATTCATTCGCACAGAAATTCTATCCACACTCGCACAGCTCGCCCACGAAGAATTGTTTAAAATAATGAATTTCAGTTTCAAGTTTTCACACTCAACAACTCTAACATATAATAACATGTTTCAAACTTTCCTTTAACCCGGTTGGAAAGGAATCATATACTAAACAAAACTAACCAACGCAGCTTACTAAATACCACAAATCATAGAATAACAGCATGACTAAGAAAAGGAAACCAACGGTACCCAAACCGGATTAACCCAGTTTAAAACTGGATAATTTATTCTTTTGAAGACTATTATAAAGTCTAAGAAAGAAATAATAAAACACAAAAAAGTCGAAAGACAAACCCATACCACGAACAATTTGCTTTTTGGAAAAAGGACATAACCAACAAGACATAAGAAAAACCACAACAAACCCAACATAAAACGTTGTCACATAACAGGACCCCTCACAAAAACCGCATGAAATCATACTCCCACTCCTGGCCTAACCCACCAGGAAGGACGTCCTGAGCATGCTCTATAGCCGGCCTAACCCACCGCGCTACATCCACGCTTTGTGACCACACCACTATTTTTAATAAGAGCTACTCAAGTGTGAGTAACTCTTCAAAATAACCGAACTAAAACAAAAAGCTTTTGTGAAAACATCTAACTAAAATCATAATTAAAAAATATTAAACTAATAAATGTTTTATAAAATGTAAATTACATTATGCAATACATAGATCAGAATACAACAACAAGGACGAACATCTAAAGACAAAACGACCCCACTACACTCGAGAGAGAATGACCAACCACAATCGATATGCCACTCACAATCACAACTCAAAGGATTTAGAGTACGACTTGACTTCGCAGAAAAGGACTTCATTGAACTAGACCAATGACCACCTCGATGTTCAAGTATACGTACAGATCCGAGTAACCAGGCATCCCCTCCACGCACAATCTCCACGCCATTCCCAAACTAGACCAGACACAAAAGAAGTTCTCCACGCAGAACAGAAAAACCTGACATAGCCAACCATTCTGAAATCAGATTTGAGTTTGTTGCGAAGACTTAGTCGTTGTCACTAGAAGACACAACGTCTTATGTCTCTAACTCCAGCTTCCTGGAACTTCTTTAACAAAAAGGAAACAGAAGAAATAAGATGTTCGCCAAACACCAACTTCCATCATCCATCCTTCGAATTGCAGAAGAACTATTCTAAAAAACTCTGTAAAACCCGGATGGGTGGAACCTGATCTAAACTACATTTTATGATTGGATAATTTAGATATTTTACCAATGTAAAGTATTTAATTTTAACCAATCATGATCCATCTAACTAACAACCCACTTATTTGTAAGTGCTGAAGTTACTTGTAATTTCAGCACCAGAGAGATTTGAATTTAACTTAGAAATTAGTTGGACTCTCCCGAGCACTTCAGCAACCGCAATAAACCAGTATACCCTAGATCTATTGAGCCTAGCAGAGACTAGTTAAACAACCTGAGACTAGATAGTATAAGAGTAAGATTAGGATCGGTATTAGACTAAGAAGTTGCACGAATCTATCCGGCCGAAAATAAGATAGCGTGACGAGCAGACGGTGTACCCTATCCGAAATTACTCTATGAGTTAACCAACTCGGTTCTAACTCAGTTCGCTAGCTCTTTGGATCATTCAGGGTTCCCCCTTCCTCACGTCAGCATAAAAATCAATTTGACTTTTCTAAACCTATACGGTGTTCATTCCTAATTTTTAAAACCACTCCTCACAAGAATCCTAAATATTATATAAGACTAATCAGTCCGCAATACCAGTCCGCCAAACCAAAAGATTCTCATAACCCATCAAGAGATCGACCTCTTGACAACTCAAACGGTCTAGCTCAGGCATATTGGCTTCTTCGAGTTACCCGCACTGGAGTTCCATGGATAATAATCGATTATATTGCCATTTTTTAGTCAGTATTGAGATAGGGACTAGTTTGAGTTTATATAATTTATATGAGTTTGTTTCTTTCTGTCTGGGGACCTGCTGTTGTTACCTTGCGATCTCTATTGTCCGGTACGAGCTAAAACAGAAAGGTGCCGTAGGATTTAGATTTGATGCCTTACAGTTGCTTTGCAATTAACGTTAAACAACTATTCTTTTCATTACTGTACATTCTACAACTTCAACAGTATCTATAAAATTACAAAATAATCGATTATAATCCATCAAAAATGGATTAATTATATATTTTTTTTTATGCCAATATAATCCTTTATAATCGGTTGTAATCAGTTATAATGGATTTTTTTCGAAAGGTTAGTCATAAAGTTGACAACTTTTTTTCCAAAAATATCGCATTTCCTGTTTAGTACAGTTGCTACGTATGAGGTTTCATAAAATGTTACATTTCACTTTTCAATTTTTTTAATTTTTACCCCGTTGACCCCCTCCCTGTTTACACCCCCCCCCCCGTTTTCCTCCCTGTTTAAACCCCCGCCCCATTGACCCCCCACCTCCCTGCCAGTTTACCACGCCGCCATTCGCCCCCTTCATTGGGGGTTATTTATTGGTAGACTTTGGGGGAGGTGGATTTTAAAGATATTAACTTTCTAATGGTTTACAAGAGCTCCAAAAACATTTTTCATTGGAGAGAAGTTTGGTCATCAAATTGCAGTAGTTTGTGACGACTTGAGTGGCAAAATGAGTTACCGGTTGAACCGTATGAAACCGAATGTCTCTATTCTATGATAAGCCTACCCAACAAGTTGGGGTTATGTAGTAGAATTAACGTTATGTTACCTATTGCTACCATTCATTCTACCATTTTTTAAACTATTTTACTCTTCCGCGTGTTTAATTGCAAAGAGTCAAAACCATTTGGGACGTTTGTTCATGACTTCTCATGATTCGTAATTTTAATTATTTATTTTCTGAAGAATTATTTTGGGTTGTGACTTTCACTTAAGAAGAGTTTGCCGCACAAAATTGTAAGCAACTTGACTCGCAGCTTTCCCATATTTTCATACTCTTAATTAAACACTAAAAATCTAAACACTTTGAATTACTAAAAGAAGAAAAGCCACAAAAACTTTTCTTTCCAGGTACTGGGCGAACTTTGCGCGTACGGGGAACCCGAACAGGGAGAGTAAGTTTGTGTACCAGCAGGAGTACTGGCGCAGATGGCAGTCCAAAGGGGGCAGACAGAGGACAGCTGTACTCAATACAAACCAGTACCTCCCTCAGGGTAGGGGTTGCTTTTCATATCATCCCGGGTTAATATCATCGTTCATAACAAAGTTTATAAAACAAAGTTTCAAGAAAGTTTATAAAAAATTTATAAAAAATTTATAAAAAAAGAATAAGAAAGTTTGGGAGAAAGTTGTAAAGTACGGGAAACTTCCTACAAATCTTATCAGAAGTTCTAATATAGGGGGAAGTTTTGAAGGATGGTCAACCCGGGATAAAACAAAGTGCCAATATGCAAATCTGCAGGACGGTTGAATAATTTTTGATGTTCCGTGGTTAAATGCTCCGCCCCCTGCAAAAAAAAACAATTTTGGATCATATGGAATAAAGATCGCTCGCATTAGGACGAAACCCTAATAGTTAGAACTGCCCTTTAACTTGTCACGGTGCACTTGTCTTGTATATCACCGCCAGACCTCAAACTTTTTCAATGAGGTACTTGACTGTTGAAATCAAAGTACTCAAAAACAGATTACTAAAAAGTGAAAAAGAGAACATCAGCTTACTAAAAAGAGAAAAATAGCAATCCAAATTATTTGAAAAATATTCGCTTGAATTACAAATTGAAAAAACGGATTCTCAAGTTTTTTAAAAAATCTTTTGAACTACACTAACTCGAACTTTCTACTTTGTCAAGATTTGTAGATATTTTAAGGATAACATTTCGGACCCATGTGAACACTCTCCTTCCTAAAACTAAATGGCAAATTCAATCCCTGAGGCCTGTATGAACTATGCTAAAATCTCATTGACTGAAAAACAAAACTTTATCACGTGAACAATCTCTCTCTCTCCAAACCCCCCCCCCCCAAATTTTGCCCAAATTGAGGGAGCCGAGGTTGTTCACTTGGTCCCAATCTCGTATCGTGACTCTTTCCCTTCTTCAGACTATGGTCCGTTCCCGAAGCGATGTGCCTTTTGGAACAACCTGGAGCCCAAATTCAGCCAGAACACCCTCTGTGACCCCATCAACTCCAGAGGAACCAGGAACTCATCCTCAGGCAGCAGCTATCAGAAGTCACCTTCACCCTCCATCAAGTTCAAATATTACTTGACAGGCGGGATTTTGGTTATCACGAAATTATGGTACTGATGAAGAAAGATGTGAATTGAAAGGTGTTAATTCAGGCAGGGGCGGATTTAGGATTTTATCGAGGGGGGGGGGGGGAGGGGTCGGTTAATTTTTTTAAAATAAATTTTCGAAAGTCTTGAATAAATTGATAATTCGAACACTGATAAAAAGACCCTATTTTGGCCAAACTTTCGGCGCCGCTGGCAAAATTTAGAAAAAAATGCCAAAGAAAATGTTTTTAGGCATTTTTTGGAAAAATTTGACCGGAAAATTGCGTGTTTTTTGGCACGCACTCACCTTCAATTTAGTATATATTGGCTCCGAAGAGACTTTAAGAGAAATTTTAATAATGGTCGACCAAAAAGAGATAAGAGATGTCATAAAAAGGTCCAAAGCGGAAACCCTTTGGGTGGCAATGGGTTTTAATTCCCGTAAATCCGCCCTTATTTTATTTAATTATTTGTAACAAGTTGACTATAATTTATTAATTTTTCGATTTATTTTTTTTTGTAAATAGTTTTCTTTATAATTCACCAATTTTTAACAAAAACGATTTATAATTTTTGTGAGATTAAAATGAACATGAATATGAATCTGGTCCATTTAAAAATTTAATTTATGTTTTGTCTCAAGTTTTCCTATTTTGATCGTGAGGTGACAATTATTCGCTAGCGGCAATTGGTCGCAGGCGACAATTCGTAGCAATTAAAAAAGCCACAAACATTCTCAGAGCATTTTTCCATATCATTTTTTTTTTCACTCAAAATCAGGTACCACAAAAAATTTTGTACTGGAATGAATGATATATCAAATTTGTAGAATTGAAAAAAAAAAACAATTCGCTTACACCTCACTTAATCTAGGACGTAATTCACGTAATCTAGGAGGGGGTATTTCAAATCTTTTTGTTACAGTAAGACACAATAAGACTAACGTTGGGAGTATGCTAGTGAGATTGGTTAGCCAACTCGGCAAATAGAAAGGTAAATAAAACACTGAGCTCAAAATAGTCCAAGCTCTGAGGAACTAGTCGCAAACTGGTGAGACTCGGTACCTAGCAATAGGAATGACCCCAAAATTTAATATATGGAAGCCCTAGATGAGGAACGCTTAAGTTTGAATCACCAGACCCTTAGACCCCTACTTCCGGTTTTATGGCCCGTGCAAATAAACCCCCCTTGATTTCGGGAACTAAGTTTTAACCCCTGGTGACCATAGGAAGCGGAAACTTGGGGTAATGAGTTTCGACCGAATTCAATGGTCCGACCGAAAACTAATAGCACTGCGGAAAATTACCCCTGGGATCGGAAATAGGCAATTTGCGGAAAATAATGAGCAAGACATATTGACTTTATGGCGTTAACGTGTTGTAGCCCCAAGCCCCGGAAAAGGCGTCAAGCGAACAAACCCTCTCCGTCGGCTCCTTTCGGTGTTAATCGACATTCCCCGGAAAAGGCGATAATGAACCCTTGAAAAGTGATAACTCGAGGAGTATTAATCGGGTATGGATGGAACTTGGCAGGTGGGACCCCCATCCACCTCTGATTTCATTGATTTTGCTTGACCTCTGGTGATCCCGGGTTGACCCTTAAATGACCCTTGGAACTGTTACCCTCAGAATGGCTAGCAAATACACGAAAAAGTACCTAGTGACAGTGCTGATTCCCCATGAGTATCCTGGGTGGACGAGAATGGAACTCACTTATGAGTGAGATTCTAAGAAAAACTTAGATACGGGATCGGAAGAGTTAATAGAAAATTCTGTTTTTTTATAAAATAGTATAAAATGTTGAAATTAACAAGAAGGGGCTTATTAAAAATTGAGGTCAGCCATAGCTTGATTAATGGACTAGAAATAGATATTTGAAAGTGGTGCCGAAGTAGTCATTGAATTATTGGTGCTTAGGTGCAGAAGGAATGGGAGCTATTTCATCAGAGTAATATGGGGGACAATATATTCTATTAGCTTCTGGGGGGTTGTTTTTTGGCTTGATCGGACCCCAGGAGGGGAACGGTTTTTCCCTAAGGGCTAGGCGCGATTCAAACTGGAATAGATCACAGGTCAGTTTTTTTGGACCTCCATGAGTAGAGACTTAGGCTGATTTGTGGGTTTCTTACCTGTGGGGGGCAGAAACATGTGTGGGATAAACCAAATAAAGACCTTGGGATTGCTGCCATTTAAACGCGAACTTTAGCTGAGGTTCAGTTGCACAAAATATTTACTTGAAGCGATCTGAAAAGCCACCGGGAGATCAGCCTTTAGAACTGGTGTACCTATGGGAACCTTTAGCTCACAGGACGTATGTGGAATGCACCGCAGTGAACGTCGGGACTTGTATGGGAGGGAGATATTTAATTATACAGAGGTACAAAAAGACATAACTGTGGGGCGATTGGTACGCGGCTTTAAGAACAGAGAAAATTTAACCAAAACCGAGAGAAGCTGGTAATTCCGATCGTAAGTTTTGAGAGATTAACACAACGTGCTTGTGTAGCCTGATTGTTAATCTGGGTACGGATCGAAGTGCGAATCTATTCTAGAAGCTGGAGAAAAGGGTTAGTTCTAGAGATTGAATTCGTGGGTTGCTTAACAATATAACAATATAAAAGCTTTTTCAGCGTTGACTCCAAAAGCATTGAAAAAAATTTTTTCCAAAAAAAATTACCCGGTTTTGAGAAAAACCGATTTGAAGTATTTCGAGCCAGTAAGACAAACGAACTGTAACAGTAGCCCATTTATGCTTAATTTAAGCTGTGAGAACAGGTATTTTGTTGAGTTTTTTGAGCCGCATTTAAAGAATTAAAAGGGTAGAGAATTCAAAAAAATTTCTGCAAAAAACAGTGTAGCTCATTTTGCTTATTTTACAATGCCTGCTGAATATGCCTATTTTCCCAGCAAGCAAAAAACGACTTTAATTTGAAAAAAAATGTAGTATTTTTTAAAAACTATGGTCGGAAATTTTTTAAAGACCATGGTCGGAACATTTTGTGCTACTTGCACAGTAATCGGCGATGCTTGTTTTAAAATGCAACGAATTGTCCATTGAGGCTAATTGTCACCTGAGACGAACTGTCGCCGTGTCATATGAAATGCACTGCACGTTTAGAAACCCCGGCAACAACTTGATCACCCTGGAGCTCTCTTCGTGTGAAATCCTGCCAAAGCTGGCGAAATGTTTGTCAAAATGAGCAGCATGTATTTTGCAATACGTCATTACAGACTAGCTATCCTTAGCTCTTTCGTTTTTTAATTCAAAAAATCAGATTTATTCTTCAGCAATCATTTTGATATTTCGGTTTTTGTGAAAAAAAGGAAATGTTTTTGTAGTAAAAAGATCACTTGAGGGTTACTGGACAAAAAGCTGAGCTAGAAGAAAACACACATTCAGCTTTAGTTTTCCTAATTGTTCAGTAAATATCCTCAAAAAAGCATTAAAGCCAATTTCCAACTAAATTATTCTTTACTCCATTAGTGCTTCTTAATGAACGGTTTTTCTCTTGTACCCGTTGTTTTATTTGGAGGTTCTTGAATAATTTTCAGTATCTGTATCATAATAATATTGAGTATCATCACCCAGTTTGAACAAAAGTTCCATATCTTAGAACTGTTCGTATCAATATTTAACAACTTCTTACAACATCGGTTCTAAAAACGTGGCAAGAATAAAACAACAAGAAAAAAATGCAAGAACAGAAATTTTTAAAAAAAAACAATTTGATATTTTTCCAACTTTTTAGTCAACAAGGAACACTAGATAGAAAAAAACAACTTGTATATAATCTTACGACTTGCTGTAGTTGCAAATTTGAGTACCAAAAAACTTACCATTTGAAGGTTTGAGGTTTCAAATGCTAAGTTTTTTGGTGCTCAAATTTGCAACTACAACAAGTCGTAAGATTATATACAAGGTGTTCCATATATAACATTTTGTGGGAAAACCTGTAACCTATCTTAATGCATGAGAAAGTTGTTTGCCTATCTTATGGCATAGATCACCTATCACCTTAATACACATCGATCACATAGATCTTCTTAACATAGATCATCTTAAGACCATCGGATGTTTATAACCATGGATTGCTCGCCCCCGAGCAATTTCTAGCCGACATATACTATTCCAATCGAAGAATCTGGTACTAACACTCGCTGGTTTTTGGGAAGAGTTTGAAAAGCGAAGCACCTTGAAAAATCGTGGGCCCAATAAAATCCATCCAAAGTTATATGAATTGATTGCAACTCTTGCGGGTTTTCTTGAACACATAGAAAACGGGCTTGTTACTTGAGGATTGCAAACATACTTGACATGTTGCGAACACAAAAATGAAAAGTCACTAGTGGGTGCTTACGAGCCAATCAACCTAAGCGAATCCGTTATAAAAACACAATTAAAGTTTGTTGTAATTTTGACATTGAAAAGTCACTGAAAAAAAATTAAAACTTTTTTTAGGAAATTTTTGTTCAAAATTTTTGCGTGACCACAACCAAAAAATAATCTAGAAATGATTTTTTCCATAGTTTTTGTATAAAAACCAAGAATATGAAATTTAGTATTGCATATTATATAATGAATTTGTAAAAAAAAGTGAAAACTTATATTACATATTATAGTAAAACCTAAGAAACCTATAAAACTTCTGCGCAATGTTCAACACTGTCACTTTGTATTTGTCCGTCTTAGGCCACAATGAGCGGCTCAAATCAATGATTTGATTGCTAATGAAAAAAAAACACCTTATTTGTCGCAAGACTATCTTTCGTTTTTGAAACACTGGTTGACCATTGCGAGGCCAAACTGTGTATTTTGTTAAATGCGAACGGATTTCGCAATAACCTGAAAAGCGCTTTCAAACTGAAATTTTGTTCTAGCTAGAACTGATTTCGTTCAGCGTAATAAGCAAAATGGCAGAAGGAAGAGCCATTTCTCATTGGTTATTTGACCCGGGCTACTGACATTTTGTTATAACGTGAACAAATGATGAAAGCTTTGGTTAAGAAGAATTAAAACCTCTTCAG